CTACCCCTATCTGACCTACAGCGCCCCCCCCGCTCCCATCTACCCCCCCATCTGACCCACAGCACCCCATCTCCCAACTACCCCCCTGACCCACAACCACCCTCTTCTGACCCACAGTCCCCTCCTGGGCTCCGATCTACCCCCCTGTGACCCACAGCTCCTTCACCACCATCATCCGTAGGCGCTGGCTGGAGACGGGGCTGAGCCCGGGAGGGCCCAAGCCGTGCCTGGGACACAAGGAGCGTCCTGTCCCCGGGGCCTGATCCTGCAGGACGCCCAGTCATCTCCCATCTCCCCCTGACCTGGGGGGCCCGCTCCTGGCAGAATTCCACGTCCCCAAGGCGGAATGGGGGTGTGAACAGAGCCCGTATCCTGTTTGCCAGCCCGGGTGGGGGACACCCCTCCCCCGCCCCAGGCAACCAGACGGATTCAGCACCAAGCCCCCTGATGCTGGGGGTGGGGGGTGGGGCAGCCTCAGCAGAGAGGTCGGGGGAGGCCAGGCTCCCCTCGGCCTGTTGGGGGAGGGGGCCCTGCCGGGTGTGCCCTGGCCTGGCACATTGGGAGGGGCCCACATGAGTGGCCGCCCCATCCTCCCGGGGGTCTCCGAGCGCCTGAACCCCAGAAGCCCTGCAGCCAGGCAGCTCCCCCCCACACCCATCGCTGTGCCCATAGCCACCTACCCTGGCCCCTCCCCGTCCCTCCATGTCGCCCCCCCCCCCCAGCCTGGCCTCTAGGTAACCCGGGAATGCAGAAGTGAATCCTTCCCTATAAACAGGATCTTCCCACTGAACTGGCCACACGGCACTAAACCCCGACAGGGAGGAAACCGCTCCCCCAGCCGCCCCGTGCCCGCCTCGGCCCGGCCCGGGCCCTGCTGAGCTAAACACAGGAACTATCGTGTGCCCGGGGCTGAGCCAAGCACACGCAGGGCACAGGCCCGGGAATGGCCAGTAGCCAGGAGCTGGGACGGGACGCCGGGGGACAGACGGCTCGATAACCGCCCTGCTCTGGCAGCAGGCCCGGTCGGAGACAGGCCGCTGGGTGAGCGAGGCTGCCCCGGCACCAGCCCCACTCACTCCCACAGACGCCGTGGGGGGAGGGCAATGCCCTCGGCCCCTGGGCAGGGGGGAAAAGCAACTGATCTGCTACATGCCTCCCCTGCCCCCTGTCGGTCTGTCCATCCCCCTATGCACCCCTCTATCGCCACCCCATGCACCGCTACCCATCCATACTCCCTAGTTCCATCTATCCATCCACCCCCATCCACACCCCGTCCCCATCCGCAGGGCCCCTTTTGTCTGTCTGCTTCCCACGCCCGTGACTGTGGTATCGAACAGTTGATCCC